CTTTGGATGTCTACCACCGATTCTAGGTGCAATGTATTCTTAGGTCTACATCTTTTCCTTTCGACTTTAAGATTACAAGTTAGGACTTGTTTTGGGATGCAGTTTGATGATTTCCGCAGTGTATGTCTGATCCTTTTCCTACATCTGTTCCTAATTTTCTCCTCAAATAGAAGCTAGTTTTTTCTCTCCCACAGTAGGTTGCTGCTAATAGTGTCTGACCAACGGATCTAGAGTATATTACGGGGACAGTTGTATATAAATACCTCTACCTTTTAGATGATGGTTGTAGTAATTCTTGAATTTTCAGATTCGTACAATAGAACTGTCTAGACGTTCGTATTGAAAATTCTGATTTCGGTGTTGGCTGACAGTTTTTTTTACTTTTATATGTTCTTCAATTGTACGAATGCTGCCTTTGCTTTGCCAATCTGTGTCTTCACATCTGCATCAGATCCTCCCTGTTTATCAGTGATACCCTCCAGGTACATAAACGCAAACCTCTTTCATGGGTGCTTATTGTTTTAAGAGTCTCACACTAAAAAAAAGCGATAGCTATTCACCTATGCATGATTTTTATGAGTTCCCTATCTGATGTCAGTGTGTAGTATATAAATGACCAACGAAATAAACAATCTATGCAAGATTCTCATGAAAGTAATCCAACCAACATTCTCAAAATTATATCGTACGTCTTTTTTAAAAGAATAGAAAATAATTACTCCATCTGTTTCTTTCATTTTCTTTTTGTTCTAGTAGCCTTTTTTCACTTCTTTTTTTGTTGTTGAAACAGATGGACTCATATCACATTCAGCTAGGATGGTCAGATGGTTACAGTAATTATCTAAAATGAAAAAAGTCTCATCAAACAACACTGTATTATATGATAATTTATTTATTAAATTTCTGTCGCATGCCATTTGTTGAGTGTTTTAATTGTTCTAGTCACCTTGACAACAATTATTTTTATCAAGTATTAGTAATTATATTGAAATTAAGCATATAGATGAGAACTGAGATTACACGCTTATGTAAAATATTATAAAAGGTCACCTATTGAAAAAATCGATGCTCTATATAATTGACAAAAACGACAGATTTCCTTACCCTTCCTCCATGAGTTTATCAAATAGAACTTAGACAATTTCTCATTGAATTATAAAATTAAAACGAAACTGAAGTTTGAGAATTGATTCCAGATGTTTCTTATTAATTATTAACAATAAATGAAATAAATTAGAATAGCTGAAGTCAACTTTCATCAGGATATTGAATTAAGTAATCAATACAATGAAGTCAGGGGAGTTATTAGAATAAGGTTTCACTTATATTTAAATATCGGTAAAACTATTCCTTATTGTCCGTTTTCAAAAGAGAATATAAAGGTTCAATAACAATATAAAACTGCGTAGAGTTCGTACACGGATTCGAACTTAATACCTGATTTGGACTTAAAAATTGTAGGACCAAAAAGATTAATTTTTTCTTAAATATGTGGTATTATCATGAAAAATCAAATAAACATTACAGATTTACAAACGTCAGATTGGCGAGGTCTTGAAACATCCCTAACCTAGTCAATTGCACAATCAGAAGAACGACAAATGAAGAATGAAAAATGTTCCATAGAGAAAAAGACATAAGATAATAATAAACGATAGCGATGGTTGGTACATTTTATATATTCGACATAACCTCATTCATTAAAAATGAGATAACCCTTTTATGAACTACGATGGACATACAGGTTACCTTACTTTAAGCTAATTCCAATAGTTTTTTTAGTAAGTTACAGAAACAGTGAAAACATTTTTGTATTCAAATGATACAAATCTGTTCACTTGTGACTGGTTTATTGAATGTTTTGTTCTTCTGTTTGGTTACCATCAAGTTCATAAATCGTGGTGAAAACGCTTTGTCATTCAGATATCTTCGATACTACCGGAGGGTTGCAATATCACTAATTGAAAAGTGTAGACTATTAGGATCTAAAGTAAAAGATGGAAATTATTACAAGCAATGAGTAACTTAAGAATGGGTTGCTAAACTCAATTTTGTGGGAATTACACTGAAGATGAAATAGCTGCCTATTGTCTTTAGGTTTTCATTGATTTCCTGTATTTTAAAAATGTGTAAATATCTTATAACTACTTATTAGTAGCACAATTCTGAAACCATATTTATGGTAAGGAGAACCACACTGCTTCTAGTAAACGGAACTGGACCATAATGATTAAGATATATATAAACGATATGAAAACCTGTCTCTTCACATACTTAAGTCTCGCGTACTGCTTCGTATCTCAGAATTTTCAAAATTATATAACTATTATCAGTCATCTTTTGGATTATATAGTTACTTAGATATTATTGCGTCAGTTGTCAATTTTTTATTTAGAACATGAAACTTTTTATGCAGTAGGCCACCAAGAAATGCACTAGACGAAGTGAGATTATGGCAAAATTAAGAGGTGTGAGAGACGACGTTTATATAATAAATAAATAAATGAAAGTTGTATTTATTCAAGAAGACAATGAAGTGAGATTTCATACAAGGTATATCTTAATTTTACGAGGAATTTCATAAAAGAACTATAATAACAATGCCACTAGCTTCTGTTCTGAATAATGTTTAATAACATTTTCAGCCACTGAGTTGTAGAGTTTCAAGGACCCCAACTAGGGAGTCACAGTGTGGATCGTCATTTTATTGTAAAGCATCACGTAAATAACTGACCACTTCACTTCTCCTTTCACTCAGTCCTAGTATAAAAAAATAATGTATTATATAGAAGCCACTGAAACATCATTCGTAAAGTATGTACAAACCAGGAGATATAGAACGCATATATATGTAGGAAGATGTTTCAAGTGTTTTTACTATCTTATACAGAATTTTGGAGCCTTAGAGATACTGCCTCAATAGGAATATTGATCTTAACAATAGACTCTTTATATGAGGATTAGGAATTTACTGTAATGAATAATAACCAACTAATATTCACCAGATTTCTAAATCCCTATTTTGCCAAAAAATTCACTTGCAAATTTGAAAATATCCGTTAGCTGTATAAAAGGATTTTGGTTCATAGATCTGCAGTAATATATAAATCTACAAAATAAATAGCTTTATAAGTCTTCGATATTGATCTCAAAAGTTTTACTGGATACATTCCTACCTGAAGGTGCTCGGTCAAGCATCCTTATCAAAACACACTTAAGTATGTCGTACTGTGAATCTCTCACGATAAATAGTCAGCTTAAACTCTATACACATCGACCATTGTCCAAATATATCTTCACATCCCTTCATTCTCGAATTGTGTTATAACTGGTTTTTAGCAATGTTGACATTTTTGTGAGAGATGTTGAATAATAATAGGCACACAAACACAGTTTTATTTACAATGATTAAATCGAGTACGGTGACTTCATTCTATAGTAACAGTTTGAACAGAGCCTTGATTATGTGTTCATGAATAAATTCTTTCCTTGTTCTCTGCTTCTTATCTCTTATTAGTTGAAGCTAACGGATTAGTCCTTATCAGCATATCGGGTCATTGAGAAAATTTAGTGATTCAGCATTGACTTTGTTTTAATACATTTTGTTAATACTTCTTGCAGTGATCTAGGATTAGGAATGCATAATTTGAAGTTGGCTTGATGAATGGAGAGTTTGTTCTTAGTCAAGGAAAATACCACCTGATGGGATTCACTTGCTTCTAACAGAATAATTCAATTTACGGTGAAAAATGAGTTCAAGATTTTTTCTTTTCACATCACCAATTATGTTTAAGAACTGTCCTAGTTATTTAGAACGAAAAAAGTTTAAAATATTTATCGTTCACTGAAACATTTAACTCCCCCCTCGTTGATATTCAAGGATCTGAAACAATGAATTACAGGCTCGAAGTTCCCTATGATTACCAACACTAGAGTCTAAGTAGATCCAACTGACAAGTTCACAGTAGAATAGAAACAAATGATGAAATGATCCACAAACCACTGAACAAATATAGTCACACTTAATTATTAATGATAAAGAAGTATCGGATAAACTTTTGAGATTTAAAATTTTATTACCGGATATCAATAATCACTGATAGATTTTAAAAGATGGTATACATTCTGGATGACTGATATTCGTAAAGCAAACAATAATTTATTTTCATAGATTACAAAATGAAATGTGTTTACTAAATGTTTATGAAAATTTTTAATAATTCCCATATATGTATACTTTTTATTAGTGTAACTTCATTATAATTCAAATACGTAGAGTTTATACTTAACTAAATTCTGATCAACATTAATGATTGAAATATTATTATAAATTACCGAATGATAAGTACTGTTATAAGAGATAATCCGTTGCTCAAATAAATTATTAGTGAATGCCGGCTCAGTGGTCTAGTGATTAAGCGCTAGGGAGCGAGACTGATAGATCATGGGTTGGAATCTTGCGAGGCGGGATCTTGGATGCGCACTGCTGAGGAGTCCAACAATAAGACGAAACGACCTTCCACTGCATTCAAGTTTTTCATGGTGGTTTAGCTTCGATTGACTCATGATTTCCACAAAATAAACCCTTCTGATAAAACAACAATAATCCAAAGTCTACTAATAATTCTCATCAATCATTTAAAACATGACATATTAAAATTATTAATCGCAATATTCTGTTATTTAATCAATGATTAGTAATCAGGATTTTTTTTTGTTGAGTATTAGCTACTTGGGATATCTACTTCTCAGTTTATTGATTACTTTTAATAAATCAATAATTTATTCTGTTTCGTTTAAATTCATTATGTTACATATATTTGACACGTGTATATTGAAACTATCCATCTAATTGAGTAATAATCACTGTTCCTTTTTGTGATCAGAAATTTATCGATCTGACTGATTAATACTCATCAGTGATGAATTATTTATATAAACTTTATATTCATTATATTCAGAAGAGACTAAAGAATATAGTAAGTTCATATTATTGAAATATGGAAAGAAATAATATTGAGAATAATTCAAAAGCTATAGATGATACTAATCAAACAATTAATTGTTATGTACCGAATCGAAAACAATTAGATGATCTACAAAAAGAATTAGAGAAGTATACAAGAGTTACACATAATGAAACATACAAAGATTTTTATTTTAATGATGATAACTTTAAGAATACAGTTTTAAAACATTTATCATTTGAACAATCAAGTTATATTGTTGATAGAAATACAATGATCGATTTAAAGAATCAAAATAATCTGGAAAATTCTGAAATTTGTTATTCAATTATGAATGGTTATCCTTTATCATCTTTCAAGCTTAATTTCTCAGAGCAAAGTTATTCACAGAAATATGATAATGAAAATTGTATAATACCATCAAAAGGTCGACATTATAAAACAGAATTATGTAAACGTTATTTAAACAGTTCTAATGGAGATTGTAGTTATGGTAATAAGTGTCAGTTTGCTCATGGAATTAATGAACTTAGATTTGCTCCACGTCATCCACGGTATAAAACTGAAATATGTTATAGTTATCACGTTTTTGGAACATGTAACTATGGGAAGAGATGTGATTTTATTCATGATGAACCATTGGAAAAGTTGATCCTTATTCGATTACAGAATCAATTATTTCAAGCTTATCGGAAAAGTCATCCACATGTACAAGAAGTTCGTTTGATCGAGTTATTAGGATTACAAGAAGATAATTTGGAGAGTTTAAAAGTATTATCATCAGCGTTATACGATGAAAAAACGTTTCATAGTAATGATGATAACTTTTCTGTCATTACTAACAGCGAACTCTAATATTTATGAAGGACTTTTCGTAATAGAGACAGATGTTTCATGGGTAGATTGTTGTACTTGCTTAACTATATTTACCTTAAACTTAATATGCGCAGTTTTTTTGTTTTAACCATCATTTTCATTTGTATGAGTAATATATTTAAAATTTATTTTCTAAGATTATGTACAATGCTTTTACTGAAATAATAATTTGGTAATTAATAATATATTGATGTTACGCAATAACCATTGGTCCACTCTTTTAAAAATGACTGGCATTATACAAATGAAATGGCATTGTAGATATAATCAGCTTAAAATCCCCATTCATAACGGTATGCTTTTGCACTGGAAATTCGAAGTATGTAGAAAGAGTTGGAGGTACAGAGTCAGCAATGGATACTTTAGATTCATTTCGAGCAAAAAGTCTAGTAAGTTTGAATATCAATAATTTAATCCAGAACATGATGGGAATAATCACACGGATTGAGCAGATGCGTTTGTTTTCATTTAAAAGTCTCCCAATAAACTGTGTACCTGGATCACTAAAAGTGAAATAGTTGGATATTTACTTACACCTGTTACTTCCAATGGAGCATAGGCCGCCGACCAGCTTTCTCCAACCCACTCTGTCCTGGGCTTCCTTTTCTAGTTCTATCCAGTTCTTGTTCATTCTTCTCATGTCTGTCACTATTTCTCGGCGTAATGTTTTCTTTGGTCTTCCTCTTCTCCTTTGACCTTCAGGATTCCATGTGAGGGCTTGTCTTGTGACACAATTGGGCGATTTCCTCAAAGTGTGCCCAATCCACTTACAGTGCTTCTTCCCTCATTGGAATCTGATTTGTTCTCTCCCACAGTAACTTGTTGCTGACAGTGTCTGGCCAACGGATCCGAAGTATCTTACGTAGACGACTGTTAATAAACACCTGTATCTTCTGGATGATGGCTTTCGTAGTTCTCCAAGTTTCCGCCCCATACAATAGAACTGTCTTGACGTTTGTATTGAAAAATCTGATCTTGGTGTTGGCTGACAATTGTTTTGAGTTCCAGATGTTCTTCAGTTGCAAATATGCTGCTCTTACTTTGCCGATCCGGGCGTCTACGAAGTCCTTCATCCTGTTCAACAATACCATGTTGAAGACTTTTCCTGGTGTTGAGAGAAGAGTGATGCCTCTGTAGTTAACACTTGCTGAGATCGCCTTTCTTTGGTATCTTGATCAGAAGTCCTTCTTTCCAGTCTATTGGTACTTGTTCTTCGTCCCAAATTTTACTGAAGAGGATGTGGAGTATCTTTGCAGTTGCTGCTACATCTGCTTTCAGTGCTTCTGATGGAATGTTGTTTGGTCCCGCTGCTTTGTCACTCTTGATTTGTCTGATGGTCATGCAGATCTCTTCAGTTACCGGTGGGCCAACATTGATTGGGAGGTCCGTGGGTGCTGCTTCGGTGCTCCTCTTCACTTGCTCGTTCGCCTCTGTGTATTCGGCTTGTGTGTTGGCTTTTTCTGCTCTTGTTCGGCTGGTTTTGATTGCTGCCTTCTTGTTCCTCCTTTCTGTTATCTTATCCAGTGTATCAACAGTGGTCCATTCCTTGTGATGGTGCTTCGTGTGGCCCAGAACCTCCTGACATGTTGAAATGATGACCTCTTTTGCCCCTTTCTAGTTGCTCTCCATAATAGTTCTCTCTCCATTGAGTAGATCATGAAAGGCCTGGAACCTGTTGTTGAGCTCTATCTTGAACTTGTTGAGTTTGTCAGTATCCCGAAGAAAGGCCGAATTAAACTTTTGTGACTATGTCCACCCTAGTGTTCAGTGCTTCCTAAGTTTTAATTTCATCTTGGCGACCAGCAAGTGATGATCTGATGCTATATCATCTCCTCTCTTGGCTCTCACATCCTCCATTGTCTTCCAGAACTCTTTGTTGATGCAAATATGGTCGATTTGGTTCTGTGTAGTGTAATCCGGTGAAGTCCATGTGGTTTTGTGAATGTGTTTGTGTGGGAATATAGTGCCGCCTATGACCAGTTTATTGAAGGCAAATAGGTTTGCAAATCTCTCACCATTTTCGTTCTTTTTTCCCAGTCCATATCGTCCCATGACGTCTTCGTATCCAGTGTTATCCGTTTCAACCTTGGAATTTAAATCTCCTATCAGAATGGTCAGGTCCTTTATTGGGCATTCCTCGACGATCGACTGAAGCCTGTCGTAGAACTGGTCTTTAACGTCTTCATCGTAGTCGTTGTTAGGTGCATAGCATTGGATGACGTTCACTGTAATACCCTCTTTCTTTGTTTTGAAGGAGGCTTTGATGATACTTGGTATATGAGATTCCCATCCTATAAGTGCATTTTGTGCTTTTCTGGACAGTATCAATGCAACTCCTTGTGTATGTGGGGCATTTTCCCCTTCATGTCCGGAGTATAACAGGAGCTCCCTTGAAGCTAGTCGTTGTTGTCCAACCTGCGTCCAATGTGTTTCACTCGTCCCAAGCACCCCCAGGTTGTATTTTCTCATTTCTGTAGTAATTTGGAAGATTCTTCCGGTCTCCCACATTGTCCGGGCATTCCATGTACCTATAAAGAGTGTTGCTCAGGTTGTTAGAAGGTGCATCGACCTCATGACTTCCGAAGGAACTCAGCTTTTGTCATGAGGCGTCATAGTTATTCCTCCAGCTCCCAGGGCAGAGTTTAAATGGTTTGAATAATTTTTTCTGGTTAGCGTTTTTTTAGCGAGTTCGTTTTCTACTGGATGTGGTCGCTAACCCCATGCCCAACCCTCCTCCTTTATCCGAGCTTGGGACCGGCAGTAGCTCCCGGAGGAGCTACATGCGGAGTTATTTGGATTATGCTATTTCAACTTACTACAAAAGGGAGTATAGATAATTCAGGCTTTACTTGTCACTTGTTTTATTATGGTCTGACTTCGTCGAGGGCAGACTGCTTGTGGACCAGTCTCGATCTAATGTTCTACGATCTCAAATTTGGTCAATACACAACACAGCGCTACTAGAACTATCTAATGTTTCACGACTGGTACATCAGTCAGCACTTTACACTGAAATCTCAGCAAACCATCTTCATGTTAGTTACTACTGAATAATTGAGATTATTTTCTTACAATAATTCAAGTAACAACCTTTTTGAACAGAGAATTTTCTCTGAAGGATTTTATATGGTCACCTAATGCTTCATTTATAATTACTGGTTTTAAAAACGATATGCCTTAATTATAAATCCTTAACGTCCACTACACAATGGTACACTTCACTAAGGACGAGGGCAGAAAGGTCAATTTAATAATAATAATAATCATAATAATAATGGTCGTAGTAATAGTAGTAGTGATAAAATATTTATTCTGGTATTCGCTACAGTGTTTGACAGAATATCACAGAAATATATTGGGTTCTTTACCTGACACGAGATTCTTACTAGTTTCAAAATAACGAAAGTAATAAAATAACATTATTAATATATTAACTGACTGAATATAATAAATCAAGAGCGGTCATCAAAGCAGTGAATATCAGCAAAACTATAGGAAGGGAAAATAACTAGCAGTTCGTTTTGAAATGAGTTATCGGATACGGAGTATAGATCCAAGAGATAGAATATATGAAGATATTAAACTAAATCAAGATTAATTAATTGTAATAAAAGCGGGATTATATATGAAATAAATTAATATCTATTTACCTAAAAATAAATTGTTTGGTTAACGTTTGAAACGATAAAGTTATATATAAATGTAACGAACCATGTTCCGGGTGATATTATTTTTACAGCTCATCGGAATGGAAATATAATGAGATAAAGGTAACAAGGGTATTGAGTTTTGTTAGTGAATAGCCACAACCTTAGAAAAGAAGTGATTGGTGACAAAAAGTTGTTAGATGCGTTATATCGTACAGCAAAGTATAGATTGCTTTGTTATACAAATTATGAAGTTATTACAAAACAACCAGTGGGACATAATCATGTTTCAAGTAGAGCATTCGGTAGATCCTATAAAAGTAATCCATAAAATATAGGATTGAGAGGCTTCATTAATAGGAATAACACATCAAATCATATCTAAAGTATCTGAAAGTTTGTCATCTGCAATGTCAGCTCAGATTCCAGAAGCAACTCGAATGAATCAGGCAGATCGGAGTACAACATAACCATAGGGAGCCTTCATAACATTCAAGTTCATTAGATTTACATTTGCCATTTGAATACAAGATGACCGTGAGAGGGGAGAATTTCTTTCTACACTATAGTGGATCGAGTAGAAAAAATATCGATCTTTTCCACAACTCGGAATCCGGGATGTTTGCAGTAGTGTCCTCGTCGGCATGCCAATGAAACATTCGAGAGCTTACCGTTTTTGTTTATCTAGGTCTACATAATTCATGGTATGGAATTCAGTACGATTATTCCCTCAGTCTATACTTCTAATTATAGAAAAAGCATGTAAATCCGTATGTGCGCATCTTCAACAAATTGAACGGATAGTCCCTGACTTAAAATCCATCAGTTGCCATGAGTGATTACGAATAATCTGCATCCGATAAATACTTTCGAATATAGTACAACAAAGCTGCTTGTCCCATCTGAGCCAATGTACAGAATGAAGACTACAGTAATAAGCAAGCCTTTAATAACATTATATATAGACCTATCAAGTGGTAGCATTAGCTTTATAACCAGTTGCAGATGTCGTATCTGTATTTAGCAATCAACCTGAGTCGAATTCTATATAGATAGTGAAGAAGAAATCAGGGCAGTAACAAATTATTTTGAAAATACCTAAATCAAGTGACCACTAAAACGTGAAGGCTGCGGAGTTTCAATTTTCGTAATTGCACTATGGGAAGTCAACAGTGCCATTCAAGAGGATCCTCCAAAACCGAACAGTGAGATAGAGGGGTGGTACATAGGCTTTATCCAACTTATTAATGCCGCTCACCCAATCTTATGGAGATTCAGTGATGCTCTAAAGCGAGGTCGGATGATTGAAAGTCGAACAGTTCGTTCCAGGGACACGACGACAACACGTAAAAAGAGTACTGGGAAGGAGTAGCATATATTAAGTTAGTTGTAGACGATTATGAAAGGACACATACTAGACTATTCTCGTAATATATCATACAATTCTAATTTACGCCTTGAGATATATATTTACATAATAATTACGTCAAAAATCACTCTTATGGTGATAGCTCTTGATTTAGTTAGTTTATATATTGGAGACATTATTGCATTATATTCTTAGACCTCCCAATTGGAAGGTGTTATCATAAAATACCGTTAGGCTACTTTTTGGTACAAATAATTGACATTAAGTTTGTAGAACGAAACCAAATACCTATAAACTGTAGTACACAAAGTGGTAACGATTCAACCATTTACAAGGCAAAAAGCGTGATTCAGAACTATTATTTAGGGATAAGTCTGCACTTGTCACTGACTTGATAGTGAAGATGACAAGTAGTGTCAACAGAAGCCTACCGATTGAGAAAACTGAAAAATCACCAGACAGAAGCAGGAAATTCAATAATCCATACAGTCGTTAACTGTTGGTCGGTAAACACCGTAACAAGTTGCAGTAACGTTTATTTTCCTAAATCGTGAATTTAAAGCTACCCCATACTTTCCAGTTATCAACTCAATTTATTCTTCACTCATACTTAGCTCCCCATTGGATTTAATATTACTTCTTACTGTGCTTTTCATCTGGTTAATCTCTTGCTGCACTAATTCGAGACCTGAAATGATATACATTCATGCCAAGTTCCACATTGACTATGACAAACTTAAGGCCTTATCACACGGGTTCCTTTCTTTTTCAAAGGCAAAGATGTATTATGGTGACTGAATTACCTATCTCTGGTAAGTTGAATGAACCGTAAACATTTTTTTCAAGGTAGATATTGGATTGTAATTACGCCCACAAACCTCTAAATTCCAAAAACTGGTCTAATACAGTAACCACGTACAAGTTCTTGTGCACAGATTTGATGTATATCATGTCAAAACTAGTGACAATGGGAGGTAACCCAAATTAAAGTAAGCAGAGCGGAGTTTGAACCTACACCCAGTACTCAAGAGCGAAGGTGTATATTCAGTAAGCAATACAATCCCCATGTTATTTTTTCCAAAATTAGTTATATGATTAGACGTTTACGAAAAGTCTTAAGTGTATATTATCATAACTGAGAGGAAAACAGGACTACAATGTCTCAAAATTACAAGCAAATGACCAACTGAAGTCCACTCAAACATGAACCAAATCTTTCTGTCTCCTTCAGTATGAGCAGGATGATAATAAAAATTGGTTTCCATCCTAGCCACATAAGTTAACCAATAGACGTACTCAACAATACAATTACTCCAAAAAATATAGATGTTTTTGAAATAATAACTCTATGCTTTAAAAGCATGTTTATGAAAATTTGTATTCCATAAAAATCATTTACATGATATACTACCATGAACTGAAAAATAACCGGAAAGTCGTTTCGTCCTGGTTTTGAACACTGCAAGAATGCTTTCCAAAGGTTCTAATTCTATGAAATCAATGTTGTGAAGCAAAAATACCATTCATCTACTGGGTAGAGATCCAATGACTTTTACTATTTGACTCTTCAGATTGGGCGCATAACATAATTCTTATTTGATATCACCAGCCAGTGACCATTTTATTTCTGAACCGACTGACTTCAAGAAGCACAACTTCAAACTGGAACTATGATACAAAATTCACAGAACATACCACTATTATCTATCTAGGTAGTTAGTTTTTATCTACCGTTTAGCTTAACTACTAGTATTAATTAAGCATACTCGTTTTTAGTGAAGATTAACGTTATCGCACATCATTTAACCTTGATTCTTTGGGCAGATCATTTTCCGTTACGCGTGAGTTGATGCAAACTAGCACAAAACAGATGTTTGGTGAGAATGATGTTCGAATTCCGCCATTAGTTGGTGTATACAATAAGTCTACCGCATTATTTAATCCCATAAAACCATTTCTATGTTCATCGTTAGTTTGGAAATATTAGTCCAAATATATAGAAATGAACTTTTAAAAACGAAGGCTGGATTACAGCTACGCAATACATATTTGCATACACTGTAAATGGTGGAATGCCAAAGGTTCAGTTGGTATAATATAACTGTGTTACTCATGAGCAACTAAATTATTTTATCATATAATCTTTCCTCATGTTTTATTGGTCAGTAATAAACCAATTGTTTTCTCGTTACTGATACACCTTTTGTCTGTCCGAATATACTGAACTGTTTATTTTTTACGAGTTTCTGTGCTGAGTTGACTAATTTTGCGGAGCTTATCACCCCGACTGAGAATTATAACTTAAGTTAATGATCATTTATTGTAGGACCATTTCTAATTTGCATATATTCATACATAAATGTTCCGAGCGACTAAAATAGTCTTTTGATTTTGAAAGACTTCAAATATGTTATTCTGGTGAAGCTAACAGCAGAACTAAATTATTCGTGTTACGTACCTAGAGAACGGCACAAATATTGGTGATTCAATAAAACCCCATTGTATTAATTGTAATTAAGTTGAAATAAGAAATTATCTCACAATTAATTTGACGCTTGTGTAGCGAAAATCTCTTTGAGTTATAAAACGATTTTGGAATGAAAAAGCTGGTGGTATCTCATGAAACAAATGGAAATTGATTTATTAGCTACTGTATTTCGAACTACAAATTTAACGCAGAATTGTGAGAGCGTGAACTATGAAAGCTAAAGTACAAACTGAGCCATTAAAGTTCTTAGCAAACTTCAAGAGAAGTAAATCTTATATATTCATAATACCCAGCAAACTTTTAACATGGCTCATGATTCCAAAGACATCCCAGAGGCATATACTCTATTCAATTCAAAAGCCTGTTACTTTTACAGAAAACAATTATATACCCTGATACCGGTGTGTGAGATCAATGCTATTCTTATAAGGTAGTGATGAAAAATAACAAACGTACATAAAATCACAAATAATACTGTCGGTATGAGAAGACGTCTATAAGTCGGTCAATTTCATGCTTGATAAAACAACTCAATGAGTAAGGAATAAAACAACAAGAAACAACTTAGTTTAGATTCCCCAAGACTTTATAACGATGAGTTTAAGTTTCAACATCGGTATTCAATAAGAACACGGAATATGAATTAAACCACTATTAATAACCGTAAAATTATTAATACGTATGATGTGTCATTATAAGAACACAACAAACTCGTTGACGAATAAATTGATGTGAAAAAGATAAACTACCAAGTGACTAACCCAATAAGATAAAAAAACGCCAATATAATTCATGAATAGTATTTGATGAGACTGTAAAAAACGAAAAATATCTGAAAGTAAAATAAGCAGTTATACATAAATATTCTGGAAGTATATAAATTTTTATATTTAAAGTCGATTGATTAACATATTAACATGTGGATAAAGAGAAAGTAAATTATTATCTACTGATAATGAAATGGATAAATTCGACTTCGTTTTATGTTTTGTTTTCCATAAGTGACGTAAACGTACCCACAAACCAAGAGCCATGTAATCTATGCGCATATCAGATGAAAGGTCAGGTCTCATGAGAGGCTTCCACATTATGTATATTCGTCTGTAATAAGAAAATACGAAAACACCGGAACGTTTTCTATAAGTTCCAAGCAAAACTGATATGTAAATAGGTTTACACAATTCACATGACATCACTGATTATTGAAACCGAATGACAAGAAAGGGAATGGAAGTATTATGAATAAATATATTTTATGACAACCATAAGATTACTATTACAAAAGCATTGCGTTTTGAACTTCATAGTTTCTTGTTCTCGATACTTACGTACAATAAAAACAAGACATAGATAAACTGTTAATATTTACATGAATTCTTTTTATATTGGCACAACTTAATTCTAAAGATTCTCAAGGTACAAACTGGTGCTTATCTATCCTAAGAGAGGGATCAGTCTTCAATTATGCCACAATGCCGATTGGATGGAAATTTTACCACCTAACTACCCACATAAAACTTAACTCGAAAGCATCTAACACTATATTGATAATATAGGAAATTAAGTGGTATATAAACTCAAACTTCACTCACCATTCGAATGAAAGTAGTATTTCATATTATATTGCTATCTTGTGACTAACACAGGTTAAAAGTTTATATACCGCAGTGAACCAAAAAAATATCTGGCTCATGTATTCAGAAAGTACTGTAAAACATCAGGAAATTTACACACGACCTCACAGTGATGTTGCTGAAGTAATTGCTGAACAAGTGGTGTTTAGGTGGTCAAGGGCGATAGGCAAGAAACCTTGGATATCTGTATTATGCTAGCTGACATAAGCAAACAAACCGTATCTACATTTTAAATAGATTGATGCACTCTCAGAGATCCGAACGTGGGTCATCTAGTGGAGTCAATTTTACTGTTAAAATGCATACGTAACAATACTACATGAAAATTCTATATTTTGAACTAACTGAACTTATTATATTGTATGTAGCCTAAGAGAAATAAATAAAAAGTGGATTCATTTGGTACCGAGAATATTGTTATTCTTGTTTTGCTTGTGAGGGAAATTAATCGCATCAACATTTTCTCAAAGAATATCAATTGATCGTTAGTGGCTTTCTTTTGTAAGTCCAGTAACTTAAACCAATGTATCGTAAATCTATATTCTACGCCATTAAACTACAATAAATAATTTAGATGTATTTCATGATTATAAAGAACATGGTGGTATGTTGACACTTGCCAATTTTTTCACGACTACGAGACACGAGGCTACCACTATTTTCGACACAATAAGTTGTCAAACTTTTACAGATTTTTGTTCTACGTTCACAAGCCAACAATCACTTTTTCATGATGTTGCGGAGGGATTCCACCAATTGTATATATAAGGGACATACGACTAACATTTTCAAAAGGGAATTTACAACAGCGGTCAAGAGATACTTATCTTCGGATTCTAGGGTTTAGGACGTCATGTTTTATGACCTATTTGTTGCATATTAAATATGATGGGTAAGGCATTGTATCTTTTTAAATCTGAGCGATGTGAAAATTCTTTCACTTATTCTCACCTTCCTCACCCAAAGGATAGTCAAAGAGAAAGTTGTAACAAAAACAATATAAATTTAATAAGATTACACTGTCCGATTTCTCTTAACACTCTAAATGTCTGCTTGTAATAACATTTATGACAAAGTCAAAAAGATTATTTCCAACTCTACTAACAGCCCTTGAAGTCAGAAGTAACGCAGATTATCTCAAAACATCAGGAGATAGTAAGAAGGACAACAAAGCAGGAAAGTATATAAAAAGCAGTGGGTAAGTAGCCAAATATAGATATCTATTAATACTTAAGACACATTACCTAGCCACATAAAATCAACGAGTTTCTATACAGTGAAATATGAGGAAACTAGGAAGAATTAGACAAAAAGAAGTAACCACGACAATTGATAACTGCACTTAATAACAGGATTACCAACATTACAACTTGTCAACAGTTGACTATACAGCAGAAAATAAGTAAGACAACCTAAAAGATACCCATCTTCATGGTTCGTTCAAAAACAATTTGCTTAAACGCAGCTAGGGGAGAAGTACAACAGCATGCGTAGTAAAACCAATAGTCCTAACAAAAAACGTTGCATGTAGCAATATATATATATATATATTGCCATGCTTGTCAGTGACTTTCTTGAGATAACGCCCCCAAATGCCCTGGTACGGCCGAGAGTGGGGTCAGTCAGTCAGCTACAACGTAGGACCAGGCACATTTATGCATCGGTCCAAGTTGCCATACCTCGTTAGCACAACAAGATGAACACCAAATTCATAGAAGTAGTTAATTTAGTGGTGGTAGTATATAAAAGATAGGTTGTGTATAAGGATATAGTATAGGAAGGAAGAACGTTATGAAGCAATTTTAGTCTCAAGGTTTAAGGGAAGACAAAGAGTGTATACACCTTCACCATTCTGATCGATTCTGAGCCATGTCACCTACCAACACTAGATTAATTACTATGAATCCGGTGTTCCTCTGGTTGTGCTAACGAGGTATGGCAACTTGGACCGATGCATATATGTGCCTGGTCCTACGTTGTAGCTGACTGACTGACTGTCACCTAGAGTCTCTAACCATTGGTTACGATAGTCACGCGGACCCCAACCAGGTAGTCTGCATCTGCCAACATGGCTCAGACTAGAAGTTAGTGACTTCATGCTCTGATGCCATGTTTTGGTTTGGCCGCCCCTAACTCTTTTCCAACCATCTCCTACATTAGTCAGCATAGCGCGTCGTGGTAATCGATGTTCATGCATACGTAACACGTGGCCTAACCATCTCAGTCGATGAAGATTCATCACCTCGTCAACTGATTTACCATCATTTCCTAATACCTTGCGTCTAACCTCACCATTACTTACCCGCTGATCCCAGCAGACGCGAGCAATATTTCCAAGGCATCTGTGGTCAAATGCTAGTAACTTAAGAGTATCTTCTACTCTTAATGACCACGTTTCGCAGCCGTAAAGTAGAACAGAACGAACTGCTGCGCAGTATACTCGTCCCTTAATTGATAGACGGATATCTCGTCTTCGCCATAGGTGACGTCAGTCAGCTACAACGTAGGACCAGACACATTTATGCATCGGTTCAAGTTGTGAAGCTCATACATATCTGGTGCCCCTTTGTATCAATATTTATGTGTTTAAATAAATAAATAAGTCTTCAGATGACTAGGTAAGCGATCCTCCTATGATTACTATAAAGCTGAAATAAAAACACCAGAAATTCCTGACAAATCATTTACTAAGTAAAGCTGCTGTATCTATGGCTGTGAAACCAAACGTAACGAAAAACGTGAATTGTTGGGTCTAGATAGATAGTGTCAAACCAGTAAATCTGTTATACCCATCGACAACATGGGGATCTTTTGGTAGATAAACAGTCAGGTTATAAGTAATTGAAGACGTTAAAATTCAGATACAGATAACAGATGGACTGATAACAAAAACGACCTACTTTGCAAGTAACTAGATAAACAATATTTTACAAGATCAATTAGTCGGTGACCAACTTAATCTATTACAAGCAATCATGACCTGGGGGGGATCTTTTAAGACAGATTTAGAGATCATACCAAAAATATAAAGATGTGTTAGTCAGTGCATTCATACTAGTAAATAAATTAAAAGTAGAAGACGCGTTGAGACACATCATTTGCATAATTCAATGGAATCAGGGCACTCAAATACCAGTGTATATAAATAAAGTTGTTACCTCAATATTTTAGCAGAATTTTTCAAGAATCCTCTCTGCATTAAGCTTTGAGCAAACCATAATTGGGACTTAGCTAGGAGAATAGGCGAGTTAATTTCTAACGCAAGGCTCATTTGAAAGAGTGAGACCGTCCCAGCCAAACTCGCCTACTTGAGTTAGGCAAAAATATCACTTTACCGCATAATCATTGTGATCTCCAAGTGAAGAATATCCACCACCAAGTGTAGAAAGCCATGCCATGGACTCTTCGATTACAATTGCCTTTACCAGACGACTTATAACGACTTTCCACCTTGTACAGAATTATACAGAAAAGTAGCTTACATCGGGTTATCACATAATGTTCGTTGATACTGACATGGGAGGAATATAGCCGGCACTGTTTTGAGATGCCTGAGGTAGCGAACTAGACAAGCAGCAAAAACCTGATCCATGGAAGCATCGTACAAATACTGAAATTCTAGCAAGCTTAGAGAGAAAACATTTTTCAGTATGTGATATGCATGGATGGAGTGTGTGCTCTGCATTTTTTGAATAGTCAAATCGTGTTTAATTGAGTCACACTGATCATAAGGATAGGTACTGATTAGACCACGTAGCTTACACTCTGGTAGATTTACAATACGAATTGATGTAGCGTAACATACTATCGCAATCATGTGAACGTCAAGGCCAATTCGGATGTATCAAAACCACTGCAGGTGAGTGTGAATGTACCTGTATCTTTGCTTTCAATGATTCAAACGTTTAAAAATTCTTTCGCTTAATGGGTTAGCAAGTCTGATTGAAAATGGTAACCGTGGTATCTAGTTAGAAAAAGCGGTCAGCGAAACAAAGAGAAGTAGAGGAAGTTGTCAAATAATGCAAATAAGAAAAAACACTACTGTGCCTCCGTAAGCCTCTAGATTCGACATTTGATGAAGTAGACTAAGAATTTTACAATATCAACATCAGTCATTAATCAACGTAACTGTAAAAACCTATAAGGAGCATGTGTGTTGACATAAGCTGTGTTTCTCAATTGAAATGTGAAAGTCAGCTTGTGAGAACTCCAATCAAGCATTCGAAGTATTTTCGTAAGTGAACAAAAACACTGCCAATAATTCTATATCTAATTACAGAGTGTGTCATGGACTATGGAGAAAGATCAGGGTAAAATTGAAATCAATGCAAATTACTTTGGGCCAGTCTCCACTCCAAATACTCAGCTCAACCATGGACTAGTCCCAGAAATAATGTCTCATTCCTACTGTTCATTGTGGACTTGAATTGCGACGAGATACCAAAACTATTAGACCTCTGAGATACAGCATCAAGACAACTCATAGAAAAACTTTTTCCATGCGACGATATCATTTACTCAAGCTGTACATTCGTATTTATGGTTCGTGGCAGTAAATAAGCCCACCAAGCTGAAGGCACTCGGCCACGCGTCTTCACTATATCACGAGTGAGTACGTTATCCTATGCATCCCTTCTAAGTACTAGACAACTTATATCAAAAGCTTCTGGACATATCAAAGGCTTCCCAAATATACCTTCGAACCGTTCCATTTCTCACTTTCAATTTGACTTGGTATGCATCCATCGGTCATAAAGATGTTACGTGTGAAGGCGTTGTCAAACTCCAAATACCTGTGGCGTCTTTAATTTAATTTACAAATAAAGTGTTTTTGTTGAAAGTTAGAAGGACGGTCACACAGTAATATGCATCAAAGATTACTGCTTAGCTATCTAGAATTGAGGAGAAATGATAAAAGAAAATTAAATGTTAGAAAGATAATTGTTCACTCAGCGGGTATATTAAGGGTGGAGAATAAATAAAAAACACCTTGATAATAATCAATAAAATAATTCAGAAGCTCCTCTGTAGTACATAGGTTATTACTTTGGGCTCCTTTTAAAACCAAACGTCCTGGCCTTATGGATGATTCTAAAAGACTTGTCCAGTAGAGCCATGTTATCACAGTTCACATTATGTTCTGATATTGAGTTGTTGATTGATTTACATTATTCTTTTTAAAGCCACATTGGACAATTTTCGGAGATGCGTTTGGAAAGCGCCTGCTTATTATGGCCCACTTGACCTGCTCGACAAGAGCACGTGAATTTATAAGTACGTACTGATATACCTAGATGCGAGAGATCTCCCTTCCCATAGTTATTGATACTTCGGCTTTTCAAATCTATGAAGTCAAATTCTTTTGGTACAACTAAGTTCTTTATAGTTAACGGAAGCACTGTTGACGACGCTGATACTGTTTGTAAACTATTTAATCAGCATTTCTCGCAATGCTATAACACTGGAACTTACACCTCTATTAAATTATTTTCAATGTTGGCATCTAGACATCTATCCAGAATCGATTTCATATCAACCAACATCAAACAGGCCAAAGCTACCCTGAAAAAGCCTTTATGACGGTGGACCGGATGGGATTCCTTCATCATTTGTGAAATATGGTAGTAGAGAATTTACGATATTCCGTTTTGATGTGTTCTATCTATAGAATATGAAGTCGATCCATCTGTATGGAAGACATCTCTATTCAATTCTAGATTCAAATTAGAATCACGTAGTGATATTCCTAACTTCAGGCACATTAACTTGACATTTGTACTATCAAGAACCATTTGAAAAATCATCCACAAACAGCCATTACCATTTTCGTTTTCAGCTTGCCTGATTAGCCCATCCCGACACGGGTTTATGACTAAACGCTCATGCTTCACATCGCACCTGGTATTTTTGATCAAATTACCCAGAGAAGAGATTATTATTATTATTAATTAATGGCTTTATTCTATATTATAATCTGGTACAATATAGAATTCTCAGCACGAGTTATTTCAACAAGTTTTTTACCAAAAAATACCCAAAAAAACAAAAATAAACAGAAATAAAATAGAAAAAAGGTTTAGGAAAATCTGAGTTTATACAAATTATCGAATATGAGACATGCTTAAGAAGACAGGTTATTTACTAGGTCAACTCTAACAGCCTGTTCGTCACAAAGTAAATTTGCTAAGTAAGGTATTACAGAACTTTTATAGATTTGCTTCCGTGTATGGATTTTAATGTATTTACGTCTCGTTCTACCAGAAGATATACAAGAAGAAAGATATGAATGAAGCGGATGGTTAGTATCTGATAAGATAACATCTGCCAAGAGTTTGCAAGATTTAAGATGTCTATCCACAAGC